ATATTTGAGTTCATAATTTGCAGCAGATCCTACTTTAAATAATATAATATTATTTGATAGCGTAAAACATTGTTTTGATAGTTTTTTGGACAAAAAAGTGAACCCTGTCGTACACCTTTGGAAGGCGGCACTAAATAGTTCATAGCACAAGCCCTGGGGACCTTTTTAATTTTTTAAAAATATCTCATGGGTCGTGTCTTAGGGAGCTACAAATATAACCCAGTAATGGTTAAATTGCTTTGTGGGCAAAATTCTTTTGTTCCTGTAACAGGTCCTTTCCCCAAATAACTATACTTGGCCCATTTTCAAGGTCTCAGGAATCAAATATGAAAAAATACTAGGCCAGTACGTACCTTGGACAAAGTGCTATAAAGCGTCTTCAAATAAAGCACGTTGACCTATTTTCAAGGTCACAGAGGTCAAATATGTTAAATCTCTTTAAAAGGCTTCTTCTGAATAACCAAGAGACCCTAAGTTAAGATACTTGGCCAGTAGGTACCTGGTATGAAGTGCTGTAAAGTTTCCTCAAATAAATGATCTTGGCCTTTTTTCAAGATCACAAGGCTCAATTTGTTAAAAACCTTAAACATCTTTTTCTGAATAACCAAAAGGCCTAAAGCAATGTTATTTGGCAAGTATGTACCTAGGACAGTTGTTAAAACCTTCCTTCAACTAAATGATCTTGACTTATTTTCAAGGTCACAGGGGTCAAAAGTTTAGAAAACTCAAAACAAAACTTCTTCAGGATAACCAGGAGGCCCATGATGATGCTACCTGACGAGTAGCATGCTGGGATAGAGGAGTATAAAGCCTAGGAGGATCAGCATATGGATATATTGCAAAATTACTTTTATGGAGAATATTTTCCCATGATTGCTCAAATATCCAAGTGAGCGATACTGGCCCTCTGGGCCTCTTGTCTTAGTTAGGAACTCTTTTGCAATGGAGGTACATTTTGTATATGACACAGTTTGTATATGACACAGTATGGGCATACATTTGTACATGTACATCCTACATAGTGTGTAACAGGAAAGAGAGTAACGTGGTTTCTTCGGGAATCGAACCAGCGACCCCAGCTTCCCAGTCCGCCGTTCTAAGCTACATGTAAAGGGAAACCTCTAGAGCGAAGCTAGCAGGCGACCCGGCATCGTGATCCTCTAAACAACCGAATCCCGCCACAGTTGTAATAACATCAGTGTCGGGTAGTTATAATACATCTTAGTCTTTCAATGCCGAGAGAAACAATTGACTTCCCAACCATGTTCGTGTAGTGAATTGTACAACACATGGACATAACGTTCTATGTGATATGTCTAGGTAAACAAGTCACCAATACCTGTCTGTGTAATCCTATCTGTACCTGTGTATACACACAGAATGTATACACACGTTTGTCCGTGATCTACATACACTCCAGCACATCATTACATGTTTACGATGTATATTTTATAAAGTAAATTAAGCTGCTAATATTTAACGAATACATACCATATGTGCATATTTCATGGACATAGATACCACGGATAAATATTGATAGAGACCAGGCTACACCTATGTAGTCCACCTTCATATACACTAGTTGACCAATGAAAAACGTCGTTACATAACCGACATGTAACCGAAGGCCATAATAATGTTTTCGTAAATGACACATGTCTATCAGACATCATGTCTGACATCATTCAGGGAAGGTAAAATATGCAGCCAAATATCGTGACCCTACGCCCTTGTGTTCTTTAGAAGTTGTTAAAGTACAAAGCAGACGGACACCACACTGGTATCCTATCAGCTTACAGCTACTTCGAGCCAGGTGCGCTAATTAAAGAGAAAGTGAAATTAACACACATATATATATAGATTCTGCAACTGTTGGTATAGCACCGACCAGTACCTTATATACCCCGTGTTGTGTTCTCTCAGTTATAGATGTATTGACAGGTGATATGTTTGTTACAGGTATATAACGTCATATCAATACCTGGACACAGGTAATCCCACGGAACACGTGACTGAGCTCAGCTGTGGCAAGAACGGTTTTTTTTCTGAAAAGCAAGTCGACGCCGAGATTACAAAATGGTGGCTGGATGTGGTGCGAACCTCGCCAAAGTTGTGTTAGTGGTTGTGAATATCATATTTCTGGTGAGTATTACTCCGATATCTTGTTGTAAGTTGTGTTAGTGGTTGTGAATATCATATTTCTGGTGAGTAGTACTCCGATATCTTGTTGTAAGTTGTGTTAGTGGTTGTGAATATCATACTTGTTGAAAGCTGTATATGACAGTCGAGACCTGGGTAAAGTCTTGCATTATATCAGAGAAGGGCTTTTCTAAAACCTGACAATCAATGTGAAGTCTTTCTAACTGTGCTAAAGAGGAGGTGTTATCTATGTGACAGTGTTATCAATCCCGATCAGAATGATACCGTGACAACCTCAAAGTATAAACTATGCTAGCAATCGACTTATTGGGAATACGTACGAAGAATAGCGCTAGAAAATATAAACTTGTCACCGACTTTTAACACAGATATGTCAAGAGAGGTGTTTGTTTTCAAACAATTAGAGAAGACGAAGGAAAAACGTCAGACAGGGTGCGTCATGGTAGTGCTATATACAACGAAACATCTATGTTATACCACCTGTCTATAACGACACATTATCTAAAACGACCACCTGTCTATCCTGAAGTATCGAACACCTGCCTTTTAAGACAACTTGTCTAGACTAAGGTAGCGACCACCTGTCCATTAAGAACACCTATATTGACTGAAGTATCAACCACCTGCCTTTTAAAACAACTTGTCTAGACTGAAGTATATATCACCTGCCCATAAAGAACACCTATATTAACTGAGGTAGCGACCACCTGTCCATTAAAAACACCTATATTGACTGAAGTAGCGACCACCTGCCTTTTAAAACAACTTGTCTAGACTGAAGTATATATCACCTGCTCATAAAGAACACCTGTCTACCACCTATTTTTTAGATCGCATGTTTATACATGTATTGAAGTATATATCACTGGATTACTAAACTGTTGCCACTATCAATATTTTACGATTGGAAACAGGAAAACCCCATCCTCAGTTTAAAATGCTTGATTCCTAGTGTGAGTCACTTCATTTTTACTTTCACTTTCTCCAAATCTCCGTGGAACCAGCAATATCTCCTCTTTTCCGTCAGTTACCATGTTACACAAGTCTAAATCAGTAAAGTATGACTCACAGAGGATACTAACTGGTTTTGTGGGCTAGTATACAGATAGTGTAACATTCCACCCAAGTATTGTGTAATCTGTATTCCGAGTTACTGACCCGTTCTCCTTACAATGCCCGGCTACATCACGTAATTTGGCTACACATGAAGAATGTATACCCTATCATTTGTTTTAACCGATAGTTATCAGCAACAGATGGTATGTTAACGCTTCAGTATAGGGTATCACTAATGGCACATTCGGAAGCTAAAACAGGTTTATTGTTGTTTATTGTCAAACGTAGAACAAGGTCAAGCCTTCTCCCAAAATATACAGTGGTTACCTATCACTTGATAATAATGGATAACGACACGTTATATCTACACTGGTGGGCTTAATGAGGTCACATGTTTATTAACGTTTACATATTATCCACAGAGAGCTATGAATTTCCTAACAAATTTAATTTGAATCAAAACTTCAAATTGAATGAGTATTTGATTTTGGCACCAAAATACGTCTTTCATTCGTACTCACTTGTACTTCTCATTTCTCACATGGATGTTGACCGCAATTAGCTACACAATTAAAAAGGTTTGCTCAATAGAGGTCATTATTAAGGTAACTGAGGTCTGAGCTTTGTATGCAAAAAAAATTCAAAGTACAATCTCCAAGATTTGATAAGAAACGTGGAGGTGATTGTATATATGACGTTATCACATACTTACTTCTAAATACGCAATTCCCGCCTTATATGATAAATGATACTAAAATCACGTGACCCATATCAGACCGGCCGGTTGGAAAATGCATAACACGATAACTCCAGATGTGGTCCGGACAGAATAGTCACGAGGTGTTCCGAAAATCCTGATTTTTGGAACACCTCGTGACTATTCTGTCCGGACCACATCTGGAGTTATCGTGTCGTTTCTATGCGTGCGCAGCAGACGAGATTCTATGAAAAAATGTCACGTTCGGCTCAAGGTGAGATTATTTTGAACTCGTTGGCAAATAGGATAATGAAGTTAGACGATCTTATTGACAGACAAAAACATGGCGAAGGAACACGACGAAACGGAGAATGTCGTTTTAACAGAAACTATTAATGAGGTCATGTGTGAGGACGAGACAGCGTGTAACGAGACCGAGTCAACTCGGCATTTTGTGATTTCCCAACCGACACACTAAAATTGGCATTTATTCCCCTTTTTTTTTCTAATATACATTTTCTATCGATGATCTTTGGTGAAAAATTGCTTGAAATTGAAGTTCGTAATTGATAATTGAAAAAAATTGATCGCCCGAAATGTATGTTCAAGTATATGATAAACAGAATAAAACATGGTAAAATCCATATCACATGCCATATCAGCCCTCGACCAATATTAGACTCGGGCTGAAGCCCTCGGTCTGATATTGGGTCCTCGGGCTGATATGGCATGTGATATGGATTTTAGCATGTACTATTCTCTATTTATAGAGATGCTGAATGGAAATAATTTAATGGAGGCACAAAATGTAAGAGTAGAGGGGACATATACGAGTTGAGATTACACAGAAGAGTAGAGTGTATACAGAAGAGTAGAGGATATAAAGAAGAGTAGAGAGTAAACAAGAAAAGTAGAGGATACACAAAAGAGTAGAGGGTACACAGAAGAGTAGAGGGTACACAGAAAAGTAGCGGGTATACAGAAGAGTAGAGAGTATACAGAAAAGTAGCGGATATAGAGAAAAGTAGAGGATACACAGAAGAGTAGAGGGTACACAGAAGAGTAGAGGGTACAAAGAAGAGTAGAGGATACACAGAAAAGTAGCGGGTATAGAGAAAAGTAGAGGATACACAGAAGAGTAGAGGGTATAAAAAGAGTAGAGAGTATAAAGAAGAGTAGAGGATACACAGAAGAGTAGAGTGCATACAGAAGAGTAGAGGGTATACAGAAGAGTAGAGGGTATACAGAGGAGTAGAGAGTATACAGAAGAGAAGAGGTACACAGAAGAGTAGAGGATACACAGAAAAGTAGCGGGTATACAGAAAAGTAGAGGATACACAGAAGAGTAGAGGGTATAAAAAGAGTAGAGAGTATAAAGAAGAGTAGAGGATACACAGAAGAGTAGAGTGTATACAGAAGAGTAGTGGGTATACAGAAGAGTAGAGGATATACAGAGGAGTAGAGAGGATATAAAGAAGGGTAGAGAGTATACAGAAGAGTAAAGGGTACACAGAAGAGTAGAGAGGATATAAAAGTTGAGTAGAGATTACACAGAAGAGTAGAGGGTATACAGAAGAGTAGAGGGTATACAGAAGAGTAGAGGGTATACAGAGGAGTAGAGGGTATACAGAAGAGTAGAGGGTATACAGAAGAATAAAGGGTATACAGAAGGGTATAGGGTATACAGAAGAGTAGAGGGTATACAGAAGAATAAAGGGTATACAGAAGAGTATAGGGTATTCAGAAGAGTAGAGGGTATATAGAAGAATAAAGGGTATACAGAAGAGTAGAGGGTATACAGAAGAATAAAGGGTATACAGAAGAGTATAGGGTATTCAGAAGAGTATAGGGTATACAGAAGAGTAGATGGTATACAGATGAGTAGAGGTTATTCAGAAGAGTAGAGGGTATACAGAAGAGTAGAGGATACAGAAGAGTAGAGGGTACACAGAAGAGTAGAGGGTACACAGAAGAGTAGAGGGTACACAGAAGAGTAGAGGATACACAGAAGAGTAGAGGGTACACAGAAAAGTAGAGGGAACACAGAAGAGTAGAGGATACACGGAAGAGTATAGGGTAAACAAGATGAGAAGAGGGTACACAGAAGAGTAGAGGGTAAACAAGAAGAGTAGAGGATACACAGAAGAGTAGAGGGTACACAGAAGAATATAGAATACACAGAAGAGTAGAGGATACACGGAAGAGTAGAGGATACACAGAAGAGTAGAGGATACACAGAAGAGTAAAGGATATACAGAAGAGTAGAGGGTACACAGAAGAGTAGAGGATACACAGAAGAGAAGAGGATATACAGAAGAGTAGAGGGTACACAGAAGAGTAGATGATACACAGAAGAGTAGAGGGTACACAGAAGAGTAGAGGATACACAGAAGAGAAGAGGATATACAGAAGAGTAGAGGGTACACAGAAGAGTAGAGGGTAAACAAGAAGAACGGAAGTGCTACGGAAGAGTAGAGGGTATACAGAAGAGTAGAGGGTACACAGAAGAGTAGATGATACACAGAATAGAGGGTACACAGAAGAGTAGAGGGTAAACAAGAAGAGTAGAGGATACACAGATGAGTAGAGAATATACAGAAGAGTAGAGGGTACACAGAAGAGTAGAGGGTACATAGAAGAGTAGAGGATACACAAAAGAGTAGAGGGTACACAGAAGAGTAGAGGATACACAGAAGAGTAGAAGATATACAGAAGAGTAGAGGATACACAGAAGAGTAGAAGATACACAGAAGTGCAGAGGATACACAGAAGAGTAGAGGATATACAGAAGAGTAGAGGATACACAGAAGAGTAGAGGATACACAGAAGAGTAGAGGATACACAGAAGAGTAGAGGGTAAACAAGAAGAGTATATCGTGTTTCCTTCTTTGAACTTTTACATTGTACCTTATGACTAATCTCAATGTGTGATACAAGTTGATCAACATGGTTATTATACAAAAGATCACTTATAAAATATGTTCGATCACAGTAAATAAGGTTTTATAGGCAAATTAAGGCATTTCCTTGTAAAGGGCTTAGATAGCATAAACAGAAAACTTAACATTGTTTCCGCAACAATGGCTTGTCCTCCATTTAGTGAATCAGTTTATTAAAATGACGAATTATCCAAAATAGTTTCCTTGTAAGAGAAAATAACATTGTATGTTGTTGTGTATGTAAATATAAGGCTCGACAAACCACTTTAATAAACACAACTATGGTGCAT